AGAGAAGGAAAGAGGCGCTCCTTGCCACTGATGTCATCTGGGTGTTCGGCGCTAATCCTAGATCCATGAGCCAAAAAAAATGTGCAAACATTCTGGGGAGAAGCAGCCAAAAACAATCTCACCATTTGGGGATGGACAGTGGAGCCCATATGCAGAGTTTAAGTGAAATGAGAACTTTCTAGTCCCCCATCTCACTGCATGCATTTCACAAACTCCACTGCCTGGAAGCTAGAAGACCCTCCAGAGTGGACTTCAATGCAATGCAAAAATCTGCAGCTGGAAAGAATAAGCAGTCCCCCTCCAGTCCCCCAAAGGAATGGTCCTTTGCACTCTCATGCCACACTCTCTCACTCTGCCAAAGAATAGGTTTTTTTGCTGAGCAACGCTTTAAACTTTTTGTGGGAAGGATCCCTATTCCAAAGAAGCCTTCTGAATTCACAGTTTGCCCTGCTTTTCCAGGTGGGAAAAAGGGACTTTGCTTTTAGTTCTGCCTGGGACATCTGGGGACATCTGCATGCCAAACAGCAAGGTTTATGGGCAAGCTTCAAGGGGATAGAGCCACTTTTCCTTCCTGGGAAAAAAATGCTGCGTCGTGCCTCTAGTCTCCAACGTCTCTCTCCAGTAGAGCATCTGCCATCTCGACATCGATGACTCTCGTTCATTTTCTTCATTGTTCCCCTTATTCAGCTTCTCCGTCACCTGCCCTTGATATCTCTTAAGCTAATCCTTGAGGGGCTGTTTCTCTCTCTCCCCCTGTCGGAAATGCCCGAGTGCACTAAAATACTGATTCAGGCTTTGCTTGGTCCCTCTGTTTCACCTTCAGATGGCAGCTGACTCTGCTGAAAGCAGATAGCGATGAGGATGAGGGGGAAACCAGTAAACCAGCACTTTCCTAGCATAAGCGCAGATTCTTGCATCTTATACATAATAAAAGGAAAATACTAGTCCGGGACTTATTCTAACAATTTTTAATGGAAAAAAACTCCACAATTGCGCTTGAAACAGAAAATCAGCCTCTAGGAATCGTTCAAAGTTGTACAAAACATTTTTAAAAGGTATGTATGTCATACTCAGAATACACCCATTGTTATAATTATACAGTAATAATCATAATGATTTGGGATGCATTGCAATGATCAGCGCAGATCTCCATGTCTTGCCTTTTAGCTAAATCAACTATTTTATGTGCACTTATATGCAAATGACATGGAGTGCTCCAATATTTTCTTTAAGAGTGATTTAGGCTGCATTTTCCTTGAAGTTCCATTGCACATAACACAACGTATACCATTCTCTTGAAACTAAACACATGGTGCTTTCAGATCTCCTAAATTCTTGACTTTGGAGCATACAGAACAATTCCTTCTCAGTGTTCTTCCCAAGGCACCTTCTCCAGAGTGACCCTATGAACCAGTCCTTAGTTGGTGACACACCTCATTTCACTCTAATTGGTTCCAATCTGGACAAAGGGAGAGCAGCCATCACAGTGACTAAATAGCTCCCCTTTCAATTCAGATTGGTTAGCTCTAGTTAGCCAGGGACCTTGCTTCAGAAATAGTAATAAGTTTTTAACCCCATGTGACCCCAGACCACTACACATTGAAATGAAGGAACTTAAGTTAGTCATCTCCATTAATTTCAGTGGGTCTACTCTGAGTATGTAGTTAATCTATTGGTCTATTTAACATACTGCTGTTTGCATGTGGGGCAGGGGGGCAGGAGATTTGCGACCCTGCAGATGTTGTGGGACTAGAACTCCCATCATTGGTCTCTGTCTTTTGACAATGCTGGTTGGGACTGATAGGAGTTGAAATCCACAGGTTCCCCAGCTCTGGCTGCTTCTTCAGAACTGGAAATGACTAGGTGAGCCATTGGCCTGATGCAGCAGGCTCCTTTTATGTGAGGAAATGGCAGGTCCTGCAGTAAAACACACCTGTCTTTTGTTCCTCCTCCTGGCAAGCCACTCAGGTCTGAAAAATTCCCACAGTCAGGGCTTTTTTTTCAGGGGGAACTCACTGAAACTCAGTTCCAGCACCTCTCAGGTAGGTTCCGAAACCTTTCAGGTGAGTTCCGGCACCTCTCAGGTGGGTTTCATTGCCATGATGAGTTCCAGCACTTTTTTTCCCTAGAAAAATAGCACCACCCACAGTTATATTGTGCTCCCAAGCCTCCATGGGAAGAACTATAAACTCTTCAGACGTGAGCTTTGCCTGAGGTTAAGATTTGGGTGAGAAATTCATTAGGATCACATTTAAACTTCGTTTATATTTTAATACGAGCCTATCAAATCTGCATTTCCTGAACTAATGCATAAACTAGAAGTGGGGTGAACACTGTTGCACTCAGGTTCTGCTTGTGGGTTTCCCTTGGACATCTGGGAGGGCACTAATTGGGCTAGGTGGGCTGTGGGCTTACTCTACCAGGGCTCCTCTTACATTCTTCAAAATATGCCTTTCTACAGATACTACCCTATAGATCCCCAGCCGAAGTGTGCAAATAAAAATGTGTGTATTATGAAAAGAGAGAGCAAAAATGCACATCTTGGTGAAAATAACATAACAAAAATGCACTCTCTTAGGGGAAAGCCATAGCAAAAATCCATATAATAGGGGAAATTGCATGCAGAAATTTTGCATTCAGAGAAATGCGCATGAGAATCCTTACAAATTTTCATGCACTTAAGAAAGAAAAGAACATGGTTGCAGACGTGGGGTGATCTTAAGAGTGAATACATTATTATATCTTTGTTAAAATCAGACTTGATAGTATAGAAGGAATGGAAGCTAAAACTCTTACCCCTTGATTCACCTTCAGTTCCAATAACCCAGCACTCTTCCTTTCGCACTGCAGCCAGCTCAGGCTCATTTGTTAGATGGGAACCAATGGGGCTGTATAAACTTAAAGATTTCTGCACTAATCAACAGCTCCTTACAACTCCAGAAATAAGCTTAATGCTGGGAGATATTGTGGCGATCACACAGGGTCCCTGGACGTTTCACCGTCTATTGATCCCTGTGCCACCACTTTATTTCTCACTGGCACCACCCAGGCCCTACCTGGGAGAATACTGAGTCCAGTCAGGGTTAAACTGAAACATAAACTTTTGTTTATTTATTGCAGTTTAACAAGCGTGTGGTTTCATAGACAGTATCCGTCAATTACATTCATGAGGTGCCTATCTAGACCTATAACTTTTGCTACCTGCTATCACTCACTAAACCTACTCTCAGATATTTACTTGTATGCTTAGCCCCTAACTGTTCCTGACTCAGCTTATTTCGTTACACTAACTCAACCTACCCACAACTCTAGCCCAATTCACTCCCACTCCAACCAACCACCCAACTCCGAATGAGTTTTGCTCCTCCCAGAGCTGGTTTTATAGTCCCACTGACTCCACCCCCCTGGGTCCTGACTGGGCAACCTGTTTAACTTTTTCACCTCCAGCACTCTCTCATATGTTAAGGTCACAGATATATCTTGGGGCTGGTCAGAGATACACCAGATACACTTCCCAAAGCAACCAAACATAAGGGCTCAAGCACTATGCAACCTAAACAGCTTTGAACAATGATTTGCTTCTACCAACGCACTGGGAAAAGGAATCATTTTCCAACTCTATAAAATCCTCACACAATTGGCTACCCCTCTCCATATTTAATTAAGGCTAAAACGGGGGAAATGTTTTGGAGAAGAGCTAGAGGAATAACTTTGGAAACAAATTTGGGATAGACTGCCATTTGTATCTATCTCAATTAGGACTCGAGAAAATGCTCTAAAACAGCACATCACTGGTATATCAGACAAACTGAATAAAGTTAACCACAATACATCCAAATTCTACTGGCAGGAAAGCAGTTTGCCTGGTTCCCTAATACACATGTGGTGGTTTTGCCCCAAAATTATTCCCTTGGGGGGGAATCTTTTAAATAATTAATCAGATGACAGGACAATCACTAAAACCAGAATCAAAACTAGCCCTATTATCTTATGCTATTCCTTAGATTAAGAATATAATTAAAAAAGATCCCATCCTTTATTTATTAACTGCAGATGGATTAGTGATATCAAGGAGCTGCACAAAATTTAAATGCAAATCTTTTTGAAGCTTGGATTTTGCAATTATGGGACATTGTGCATACGGACAAATTAACCATACCACAAAAGCAACATCAATGAAAGCTGGAGGGGAAGGACACACACCTTTTATACAACACTGTGCCATTTTATTGTCTTTGTTAAGACAATGGAACATTGAAACCCTGTGGAGAGACTGCTTACACCAGAACATTTAAAACCACAACCATCAGCTGATATTTTTCTTTTTTTCCTGAACAACTGTTAAGCTCTGTATTCCCCTTTGTGGATATGCTTTGTTAAATGAAATTTAAAATCAATTTAATTTTTTAAAGAAAGAATGGGAAAATGAGAAAGAAAGCTAAACATGACACCCTCATCTGTCCCTGTTGGGATTGCTGTCATCTTGGCTGCTGTCCCTGCACTCTGTGTGGGGCTCCCCTTGAAAATGATGCAGAAGCTTCAGTTGGTCCAAAATACAGCAGCCAGATTACTGGCTGAAGTTCCAATTTGGTCTCATGTAGCCCCCATTTTAAAGCAGCTTCACTGGCTGCCAGTTTGTTTCCAGGCCCAGATTCAAGGTGTGTTTAAAGTCCTAGAAGGTACCAATTAGTTGAAAGATGGCCTCCTTCCCTACAGTCCCTCACAGGTGCTCAGATCAGCTGAGGGGGCCCTCTTGGAAATTCCTTCGGCCTCAGAGGCTTGAGGAGTGGCTGCCTGGGAGAGGACATTCTCTGTGGCAGCCCCTAAGTTGTGAAGGTACATCTGGCAATTCATTGCACACCATTTGGCTAATACTGAAGATGCTTTACCCTAGCTGTTGACATTTGAGTTATATATTTGTGGAACCCACTTTAGTTCTGTAAGTTGTTTCAAACTGTTTTTAATGTTGAAACAAAATAAAAAAAAATCCTCCCAGTAGCACCTTAGAGACCAACTAAGTTTGTTATTGGTATGAGTTTTCATGTGCATGCACACTTCTTCAGATGCATGCACACAAAAGCTCATGCCAATAACAAACTTAGTTGGTCTCTAAGGTGCTACTGGAAGGATTTTTTTTATTTTGTTTCGACCTCGACAGACCAACACAGGTACCTACCTATAACTGTTTTTAATGTTGTATTTCAATTGTTGTGAACACCCCGTGGGACCTTAGGGTGAAGGGTGAGTTGTTATTGCTGCTGCTGCTGCTGCTCTTGTTGTTATTACTACTATCAATAATAATACCAGCATCCCCAAGGAGCCCGGTCCACACCCTGGCAGTTCCTCAGGAATGCAGTCCCCAACCCCAGCCACCTTTGCAACCTATTTAAGGTTCTCAACTGACAGATTAAGAAGTAGACCATTTTTTTATTTCCCGTCATTCACCCCAAACTTGTGAAGTGCATTGACAGAAAACCGGAAAACCACAGTGACCAAGGAAGAAGGCAGAGGAAAGGATAGTGAAAGGGGGGGATAAACTGAGATGTGCACAAAAGGTAAAATGAAAAGCAGGATAGATCTACACAGCCTCATTTAATACTGGGAATTACAATGCACGCGGAGTGTTTGCCATCTTTTCCCTTGAGTTAGCCGGATAAGGTTGTTTCTCCAATATTGTTTGCTCTGCACACACAGGCCCTTCTGAGTGATTTTTAGATGATAGATAGAAATCATTTTATACAGATAAACACGGTCAGAGACTAAATATAGATCCCCGTAGAATGCCAGATACTAGGAGTGCAACATCTGACAGCCTTGTTGTTGGCTTTTTGACAAACTGTCGGGATGAGAAGCTATCCTCTCAATTCCCTGAAAACCCCAGTATCACAAATGCAGATAACATCAAGAGAGATACGGTATTTATTAAATACACTCTCTAAATATTAATAGGATAGGGGCTGTAATCTTCTGACTCGGAGTGTAATTCATATGCTTGGACTCATTTGCTAACAAAGATTAAGAACATAAGAAGAGCCTGGGTGCTGGATCAGGCCAAAGGCCCATCTGGTTCAACAGCCTATTCTCACAGCAGCCAACCAGATGCCACTTTCAGGAAGCCCACAAAAAGTCCATGAACATAACAGCATCAACCTTCCCGCAGTTTCCAGCAATGGGTATTCAGAAGCATGCTGACTCCAGTGGAGGGAGAACGCAGCCATTGGGGTCAAGAGCTACTGATAGCTGTATCCGCCACAAACCTGTCCAAGCATTGCCTCTTGTGGGAGCACTTCCACTTAGCATAATTCTGGAAGGTTAGCACTGCAGCATGAAGGTGTGTAGATGCTGAAGGACCCCACCATTCCAAAACATTGGCTTTCCATTGTAACCAAGTGACAAAAAGAAGGGGGAGACATTTCAAATTGCTTTTTGAATGGGAAGTGCTTTATAAAAGCGCCGGCCCTAGTATTGGATGCATATGCAGAAGGCCCCAGGCATCTCCAGGTAGGTCTTCTGTGTGAAACCTTGAAGAGAAGCTGCAAGTCAATGGAGACGGTACTGAGCTAAGTGGTCCAATGGGCCTGGCCCAGTGTAAACCAGCTTCCTGTGTCCCTTTATTCCTAAAATACATTTGTAAATGTGTACTTTGTGAGCAAATGTGCATTGAAATACAATTTGCAGATTAACATGGAAATGGAATGAAATGGACTTATGAACAGACGCCTCCAAAACTGACACGGATTCAAGCCATCGATCCCTACTCTGGGTATACGCTAAAACGTATCCCAGAAACCTCTGTAACCTTCTGGGGTATGGGAGACATACAAGGGTTCCCCAGCAGATAAGTGAAGATGGAAAAGTAGGAAGCCTGATTTACAATGCCGAAAACAATGAGCAAGACCGAGGCTGCAAACAATATCCAACTTAACATTCTCAAGCAGACCTTTTACAGGATCTCCCCTGGCCAGCGCACAATTTTCTGTGTTGACTGGTGATTTTATAACTCAACAGTTGATTGGCTCCAAGATGAGGAGTTTGGAATAATCTCACTGATAAAGAATTAAAAGTAAATTGTCTCCCAGGGAAAACTGTTTTCTTTTTTGCCACTCTGCTGATTAGGAACTGGACTGTGAATAATTGAGATGGCATGAAAATACCTAGCCATTTGTGGCTCCAGTCTTTTCCCCTTTCCCTCCCACTTCTTAATCCATTAATTCCTACCGAGTCTCACATCTGCGTTTAGATGGCTGTTGGAGCGGCTTAATTCATTACCAGCTAATTCTGCCCCATTTACTTTGGCGTATGACTTGATAAATGGAAGGAATGCAAGTTTGCAAAGAAGAGATGACCTTCTAATTCCTCGGGCGCTCTGTACCTGCCGCTTCCACCGCCCCAATTCCCATAGTGTGTGATTCTGACAGAGTCTGGCAGAAGTTACCAACTTCTGTCTTTGCATCCGTATCTGATTTGAATTTTTAGCTTTCTCGTTTGAGAAGGAGGCCCAAGTTTTTAAATCCACTTTCCCAACTTTGCCTGTTCCTCCTCTGTTGCATGAGCACTTCCAAAATAAGATCATCAACAATTACAAAAAATGATTAAATTGAATGCTTTATGGCACAGATCAAAAGCCAATCAAACTAAGTTGCTAGATAAACAGTAGCAGCAGCTATCATCAGCATCTTCTTTAACTTCACAAAACCAAACTGCTAGATATTTGACATACAGGTCTACTGAAGGGATTCTGTGGAGGCTCATAGGACAGAATCTAACTGCAGGCAGCACATTGCATCCAGAGTGTGCTAGACATTGCAGGGTCCATATAAAAGCAAGTTGCAACTGTAGGGTCCATGCGGCTGAGACAAAAAGCAAGTAGCAACTAAGAGGCATGGAAAGCAACATGGAAAACAAGCTGCAACTAAACATTATAGAGCCCCACATCCGCCAAGGAAAGCAAGTTGCAATGAGATTTTACAGAATTTATGGAATTATCACTGAAAGCAAGTTGTTACTAGCCAGGACAAGAGCTATATCTCTTCCACATGGCTCTCTGGATAATTTAGGGATACCAAACCAATGATGTGACACAATTGTGTTTTGAGCTTCAATTTCCTCATTCCAGTAGCTGTAAGTTGGAGTGTAATGATGTCATTGAATCATAGAATCATAGAATTGTAGAGTTGGAAGGGACTGCAAGGGTCATCTAGTCTCACCCCCTGCAATGCAGGAATCTCAACTAAAACATCCATGGCAAATGGCCAACCAACTTCTGCTTAAAAACCTCCAATGAAGGAGAGTCCACAGCATCCCAAGGGAGAACAGTCCACTGTTGAACAGCTCTTACTGTCAGAAAATTCCCTCTTCCTTGTGACAGCCCTTGAGATATTTGAAGATGGCTATCATATCTCCTCTCAGTTTCCTCTTTTCCAGGCTAAACATACCCAGCTCCTTGAAGCTGGGTATGTTTCCAAGGCTTAGTTTCCATACCCTTGATCATCTTGGTTGCCCTCCTCTGCACACATTCCAGGTTGTCAACATGCCTCTTAAATTCTGGTGCCCAGAATTGGACACAGTAGTCCAGGTGTGGTCTGACCAAGGCAGAATAGATTGGTACTATTACTCCCCTTGATCTGGACACTATACTTCTATTGATGCAGCCTAGAATAGCATTAGCTTTTTTTCTGCTGCTGTATCACACTGTTGACTCATGTTAATCTTGACCCCTACATCCATTTCACATGTACTACTGGAAAGCCAGGTGTCCCCAATCTTATATTTGTGTAGCTGGTTCTTCCTGCCTCAGTGCAGAACCTTGCATTTGTCCCTATTGAATTTCATTTTGTTCGTTTGGCCTCAGTTCTCCATTCTGTTACGGTCATCTTGAATCTTGCGGCATTAGCTATTCTGCGGCATTTATTTATTTATTAAATTTGTATACAACCCTATACCCATAGATCTTGGGGCAGTTTGCAACTTAAAATTACAATATAAAAAACGCAGCTATCCCTCTCAGTTTGGTTTTACCTGCAAATTTGATGAGCATCCCCTCATTTCCTTCGTCAAGTCATTTATAAAGATGATGAACAACAATGGGCCCAGGACAGAACCCTGCGGCACCCCACTTGCCACTTTTTTCCAGGATGATGAGGAATCAGTAGTGAGCACTATAAGTTGGGTCAGTAAACCAGCTAAAAATCCCCCTCATCCAGCCCACAGTTTACCAGCTTCTCTGCAACTTAGGGGTATCATTTTCCCACACATTACGGAGGGAGGAGATGTGTGATTGCCACAATAACCTGCTCCACCCTAAGCCTCTTGTGCCTGATAAAAGCTGTCAGGGAGGGAGGGTCAGCAAGAAGGGGAACATTTTGAGTGTATCCCAATGTTTAAAAACTCATATTTTTCTGGAAACCATTTGCTTAAATCATACAAATCAGGAGGACGACTCCCTTTATCAAAAACAGTGGGAGATTTGTCGAGCTAAGCTGTTAATAATGGCATTATTTTGACAGCATAACAGCACTTCAGTTGCAGCAACTATTTTGAGGGTGCTAGGTTTTCAATAAAAAAAATTAAGTCCTTATCTAGAAGGGAAAGTAGTCCCCTGTTGTCTTTAAAGGAATCAGTCCTGAGTGTGTCTAAACACCTTAATCCACCCTGAAGAGGGGAAATCTCAATCCTTTTCTGTATGAATAAACCTTGCAATCCATCATGTGGAGGTGCTCAGTGCATTTTTCGCCCTACTATATCAAGGGGGCCTGATAAACCGTTTTCTTAACCAAACCTGTTGGGTGATCATTAGGTTGCTTGCAAGAATAAATTATCAAGGGTAGTTCTCTGTAGCTTACTTAAATACTCCAACGATGTTTGCCGTCACTTTCACTTATGCCTTTAATTTATTTAAGAGGGCTCACCAAGTTATTCAGGTGAGCTGGGAGACGGGAAGAGGAAGATGGCCATTTCCTCGATGCTGGAGTTAATACAGTCTAAGTTCATAAATCATTGTTCATCACAGGACAATCCTCTTGGCAATCCAAGTTGAGTTGATACAACCATTCAGCACCTATGGTGAAGTTTCTGAAAGGGCTTAAAACACCCCCACCAAAAGAATATATTTTTCAA